ACTAGACTCCCTAGTCATCCTAGTACTATTGGCAAACTAGACTCCCTAGTCATCCTAGTACTATTGGCAAACTAGACTCCCTAGTCATCCTAGTACTATTGGCAAACTAGACTTCCTAGTCATCTTAGTACTATTGGCAAACTAGACCCCCTGGTCATCCTACTACTATTGGCAAACTAGACTCCCTAGTCATCCTAGTACTATTGGCAAACTAGACTCCCTAGTCATCCTAGTACTATTGGCAAACTAGACTTTCTAGTCATCCTAGTACTATTGGCAAACTAGACTTTCTAGTCATCCTAGTACTATTGGTAAACTAGACTCCCTAGTCATCCTAGTACTATTGGCAAACTAGACTTCCTAGTCATGATAGTACTATTGATGAACTAGACTTTCTAGTCGTCATAGTACTATTGGCAAACTGGATTCCCTAGTCATCCTAGTACTATTGAAAAACTAGACTCCCTAGTCATCCTAGTACTATTGGCAAACTAGACTCCCTAGTCATCCTAGTACTATTGGCAAACTAGACTTCCTAGTCATGATAGTACTATTGATGAACTAGACTTTCTAGTCGTCATAGTACTATTGGCAAACTGGATTCCCTAGTCATCTTAGTACTATTGGCAAACTAGACTTCCTAGTTGTCATAGTACTATTGATGAACTAGACTTTCTAGTCGTCATAGTACTATTGGCAAACTAGACTCCCTAGTCATCCTAGTACTATTGGCAAACTAGACTCCCTAGTCATCCTAGTACTATTGGCAAACTAGACTTCCTAGTCATGATAGTACTATTGATGAACTAGACTTTCTAGTCGTCATAGTACTATTGGCAAACTGGATTCCCTAGTCATCCTAGTACTATTGGCAAACTAGACTCCCTAGTCATCCTAGTACTATTGGCAAACTAGACTTCCTAGTCATCCTAGTACTATTGGCAAACTAGACTCTCTAGTCATCCTAGTACTATTGGCAAACTAGACTTCCTAGTCGTCATAGTACTATTGATGAACTAGACTTTCTAGTCGTCATAGTACTATTGGCAAACTAGACTCCCTAGTCATCCTAGTACTATTGGCAAACTAGACTTCCTAGTCATCCTAGTACTATTGGCAAACTAGACTTCCTAGTCGTCATAGTACTATTGATGAACTAGACTTTCTAGTCGTCATAGTACTATTGACAAACTAGATTCCCTAGTCATCCTAGTACTATTGGCAAACTGGATTCCCTAGTCATTCTAGTACTATTGAAAAACTAGACTCCCTAGTCATCCTAGTACTATTGGCAAACTAGACTACCTAGTCATCCTAGTACTATTGGCAAACTAGACTTCCTAGTCGTCATAGTACTATTGGAAAACTAGACTCCCTAGTCATCCTAGTACTATTAATGAACTGGACTCCCTACTCATCACAGTATTATTGGCAAACTAGACTCCCTAGTCATCCTAGTACTACTAATGAACTAGACTCCCCATTCATGATAGTACTATTGGCAAACTGCACTGTGCTCAGTAGTTTTTGTTTCTGCTATGCCCAAATGATCACCTTACATCAAACACTCACTTTTATTAGCTTCGCTGTCGACTTTGTCGAGCGGAGCTTATCATATGAGTGATTGTCCGTCGTTCGGCGTCCGTCGTCCGTGTCAATGTTTTACTTTTTCGACTTCTTGTTAAAATTGTTAAAAGTCCAATTGCTTCGATACATATATAGGTACTACATGTGGACCTCTCTCAGATTTGTTTTTTTTATGATATCGTCAATTCTCTAATTTTGGTGAATATTTTTGTCATTTTTGGTAAAAAGTGATATTTTCAACTTCTTGTTAAAAAATTGCATGTCCAATTGCTTTGATATTACATATATAGGTACTACATGTGGACCTCTCTCAGATTTGTTCATTTTGTAATGATATCTTTAATTCTCTAATTTTGGTCAATATTTTCGTAATTTTTGGTAAAAAGTGATATTTTCTTCTTGTTAAAAACCACAATCATTTATGGTGAAAAATGATATTTTTGAATTCTTGTTGAAAACAGCAAGTCCCATTGCATTGATACTATGCATATTGTTCATTTTCTAATGATATCTTCTGTTCTTTAATTGAAATGTGCATCGCTAACAGCGGAGCTATCTCAGCCGACAGGCTGCTTGTTGTTATACCTATGAACAATTTGTATAATAGTATACTGGGGAAAGCTGAATGTCATTCTTCAATATATCTCTTCAATATATAACAGGGAAGTCAACATTCAAAAGGCTATAGCTTTTTAGAAGACAAAAGACGCAGTGATTCTGGAGAAAGTCGTAGACACATACGAAACTGGGGAGGAGCCAGTTTTGATAATGCTAAAGTGCAGGTTGCTAGGCAACATACAGATAGAAAGGTAAGCAAAGACCCTCATACTTTAACAGTATTAGTATTATGTGTGCTTGATTTTATTAGGGGTTGCGGTTTATTATTGAAGTGTTTTAATACCATTAGCTATCTCACAAAATAGCATTGAAGAATTCTATCTTGTCATTGTTTTGTTTTGTTTTGCATAAGTATCACATGTAGTAAGTTACTGTGGAACATTGTTTTGTTTGGTATGAGTATCAATACCACCTGCATATAGTGACCACCTCTGTACAAAGACCACCTGCCTATAGTGACCACCTCTATATAAAGACCACCTGTCTATAGTAACTACCTCTATATAAAATATACCACCTGCCTATAGTGAACATCCATATATGAACACCACCTGCATATAGTGACCACCTCTATATGAATACCACCTGTCT